ATTGGGCCGGAAGATCTATACAATAACACAACACCATTTGCACTTCTATATCTGTCTTTGTCCCCTTGTTCTTGTAGCAAAGCTTTGATTCTCTTTGGGAAATCATTCTTTCCTCTCCATTGCTTTGGGTGAGATTGATTCCACTCACAATTTTTTTTTATATATAAGTGGACACATGGTCAAATCCAGCCACTTGGAGTCACTGTGATAAACTCACAGATAGGTTTCTGCCAAAGCGACTCATTCCCGGAACTTTTGCTGGGGAGAGGCATTGGCTTCCTGCTGTGGTTTTCAATCAAAGCAGCAAAGCCTAGGGCTGATGATGTCTCTCCTAGGTAAAGAGAGACTGTCTGAAGATGAAGCCATTGCAGAAGAAAGCAGAGCTTAGAGATGGTAAGAGACCAATTCTTGAGAATGCCATTGGAAGTCTTGGATTCAACTATGACTGAAGCTAGCCTTTCCTTCCGATTTCTCAAAAATGTTCTTTATGCCCTTGAACCTATTTGGATTTTTGATACAGTACTTGCACTGAAAAAAATTATAGCTAATATGAATTTCTCCCACTGTTCTTCACATCTAACACCACTGCTTTATAACATTCATATCCACAGCAATATGGGTGGCATGGGGAAGTAGAGGGCCAATAGATGAGTTTCTTTTTTATTCACTTGTGGAGGTGTTTTTAAAAGGCTGATCCTACACAGCAGAGAGTAAAGCAGATTCTGGTGAAAGATTTAAAAATTCTTTTTCTCTTTACTCTGAATACAGTTCTTTGTTAAAAAGTCAAATAATGCACAAGTTGAAATGTACATAGTGGGATGCCCCGCCCCGCCCCGTACACAATTTCATCTCTCCCAGATAATCAAGGGTACCATTTTAGTGGCTTGATATTCAAAATGTAATCCACCAAACAGCAGCACTGACCTCCACAGAAATGCAGGACTGGGGTCTCAAAGCTAGCCTTGTATTTTAACAGGACTCCCAGGTAATCTGCACACCCCTCAAAGTCTGCAAAGCACTGACTTAATGTATAATCCTTTGGAGATTTATTTGTGTAGTCACAGCATGTTTTAGTACAGTCATTTGTCAGCTTTTTATTCTACAGATTTTATAAAGGAATACACGAATACAAAGAACCAGAAACAATGGCATCGAAATCCATTACAAAACATAAGCAGTTCATTTACTGGGGCTGCCTGCCAATTATAAATGAGCTGGACCTCCTCATCAGACTGACAATCCTGCACACAGAGCAAACTCTAGCAGGACCTAACACATGCCACAGCAGGTTCTCCAACTTGAGCATCTATCAGAACTATCTGGAAGTCAGGTTAGCAATTGATAATCCACACCCAGAACTTCTGGTTCAGTGGTTCTAGGCAAGGTCTAAGAATCTGCATTTCTGACAGGTTCCAGGAGCTGCTAATACCTCCAGTTCAAGAAACATTTCATCAGGGCTTCAAAAATAAGCTTGGTTTTAGACTATATATAAATCCTGAAACTTTCTTTTTACTCTTACTACTGTATCTGGAACATCTTTCCATGCCATCAATGTAGAAATACATCACTTTTTAAGGGCTACAAGGTCAGAAATTGTTGGCTAATATGACCATATGTGTTAAATGACAAAAACAGAGCAAACAGGAATTACTGCCACTTGTAACATGAGAACAAGCATCCTTACCACAGGAATCATGACTTTTTTTCTTCTTTTGTGGTCCTAGGATTGAACTCAGGGCCTCACTCTGATCTACTTCCCCAGTCCTTTGTATTTATTTATCTATTTTTATTTTGAGACATCTCACTCGGTTGTTAAATTGCCCAGGCTGGGTTCAAACTTGTAGTCTTCCTGCCTCAGCCTCCCAGATTGCTAGGATATAGGCCAGAATCATTATTTTTAATTATCACTTTTAAATAAGCATTTTTGTTTTGGTACTGGGGATCGAACTCAGGACCGTGTGCTTGCCAGGCAGGCATGGTGCCACTGAGCTAAGTCCCCGGCCCAAGCATTTTTTAACTGGGTCTAAAGATTAAAAAAAAAAAAAAAGCTCTGAGCTGACCAGGAAAGAGCTTAGCATTATACAAGTGCCCATGCAGAACTAAGGATGAAATGCAGTTCCCTTGGGAGCTAGTCACTCTTGTTTCCCTCGATCCACAGGACAGAATGGTAACTGAGGTGCAGAGGAACTCCACACAGACCCAGTCGGCCGATGAAAGCACACATGCATCTAATGCACAGAGCAATTCTGCATAGGAACCCTTGGTACAGAGCTGCTGCTCCAAACCTCATCCTGCAGTGCTTAGTAGCCAGGTGCCCCTCCTCCTCCATCCAGACCTCCAGAAAGAAAGTGACTGAGCTTGCAAACATGGCTGGAACATCAGCAAGGTGCCCCCCAAGAACCAGATCTGGAATTTTAAGGCAATTCCTGAATGCACTGACATGTTCTTGGAAACCCCTCTACTTCCTAGATGTCTTCTGTTGTTAAAATGCTCTGGGCTCAGACTTCCACCCCTCAGAAAAGTTGACTGGCCCCAAAGATTTTCTCCTGAGTTAGGAAATATAGCTATAAGTAGAAAATATGAGCCAGGCAGAGTTGCACATGTCTGTAATTCCAGCTATGTAGGAGACCACCACCGACGAAGGAGGATCTCAAGTTTGAGGCCAGCCTGGGCAACTTAGAGAGATGCAGTCTCAAAATAAAATACCATTTTTAAAAAGAGATGGGGGTATGGTTCTGTGGTAAAGCACCCTGGTTTCAATCTTCAGTATTACAAAAAGAGTATTTTATGTGTATATATAAGTACAGAAACACACATGTGTATGTATATACTGTGCATACATATGTGTGTACGTTAGAGTGGATACATATTCTTCAGCTGAGCCATGCCCTTGCACTGTGACTCCATACATAATCACCATCAAACAAAGGATGATATGACCACAGTGTATCCCGGAGAATGACATACTGAATGTTCAAATGTAGGAATTCAAAAGCTTAAATAGCAACATATAGCATTAGAATGAGCCAATTATTGATCCTGATTTGGCCAGTTACTAGGTATAAACTCAGTTGGGAAGACCTCATTTCACTCACTACACAAGCATTTAATCAACAGGTATTGTGTTTGATATCCAGGATGTAGATATTCAGACTGCGGGGTTGAAAGACAGACACTGTCGAGGAACATAGTGTAGGAGATACACGAGAAAATCAAGGATTATACGTAGGAGATACATGAGAAAATCAAGGATTATACCTCTGCATGCGCATCTGAGGGGGTCAAATGTGTACTGACGAAGGGTTCATCCAACCCAGCTCGGGGCTCATCAGACAGTGAGAGCAGGGCTTGAGACAAGTGTGCAAGGAGGGCAGATAGGAGCCAGGCAAGCTAGTGGAGCATGCTGAGCCAGGGTGTAAGCAATACAATGGGGAATCAAAATATATGGGGGATGTTTAAACTCTTAAAAATTCATTACAGTAAAAGACATTGCTAATAATCCCCATCAAAATGTTCCCTTTTCCTTGGAACACACTTTACTCATGTCCTTGCCATTTTCTGAAGCAGCTCTGGAAGTCCTCTTTCCTGTCTTTATGAGAAGGATAAAAGATACAGTGAGGGCCAAGGATTTAGCTCAGTGGTGCCGCTGCCTGCCTCGAAAGCGCAGGGTCCTGAGTTTGATCCCCAGTACCGGGGCGGTGGGGGCGGGGGGGAGAGATACAGTGAATACTACTGAGTGCCATCCAACAGAATGGCGGGATCATTAAAACATCACACTGTGTCCTCATCTACCTTATTTACTTGATTTGGCACTGTATGGCTTCTGGGTTGTCCCCAAAGTCAAAATGACCATGAATGGTAAACATTTTCAATTGATTCAGGGTATCATGGCAGTTAGGACAGCATGACTAAAGACAAAGAGAAATTCTAGAACTGCTTCAGCAAGTGGCAAGAACAATGGGAAAAGTGTGTTTGAAGCGATGGTGAGTATTTTGAGGGGGATTCAAGGCAATGTGTCTTTTACTGTAATAATTGGTTTTAAACTGAAACATTCACTGTGTCTTTTACCACAGTATGTACGTTCGATCGCATGGAGATGAAGCAGAGTCTATAAGCTCAGGAAACCTCAAGGGCTTGCAGGTGACTACAGCGCAGCCTCCATGTGAGGATGTGAGAGAGGACATGGGCAGAAGTTGGCTGAGAGGTCAGATTGAGTTCTGGAGGGTCAACAGCAAGGGTGTGCTGAATAGGTTTCATCGGTAAAGACTCCCTGGCAGCAGTATGGAGATGCGGAACTGGGGAACAAGACCTGGAAGCCTAACTAGCAGGCTGTTATGGTGTCTAAGGGAGCAGTGCTGGAACCTGGCTGTGGGGTTCAAGAGACAGGGAGAAATTTAGTAAATGTTTAGGAGCAAGGATGTCCAGAGCCTTGATGACTGTGTGGTGGCAATGATGAAGTCAAGCGATGGGACCAGGGGGACCCCAGGTTTGTGAGGTGTCCAGGTGGGTGATGAATTGAGAGCCAGTACGGGGACAACAGGTTTTCGCTAGAGGGTGGGGATGGGAAGCGGAAATGGTCAGAGACACTGTTCCTCAGACAAGAGGATACTGGATCTTGGGATTGTCTTATCCCTTCCAAATCCATGTCCAGCCAGAACCTCACTGTGGGACCTTATGTGGAATAGTCTTGCATATGTCATAAGTTAAGATGTGTCCTGAGTCCAGCGTTGGCAATGAGAAAACAGAGGGTCGAAGCCATGCAAAGACACAGCTGAGATTGCTCCATGCAGCTCCCAGCCAAGGACAGCGAGGAGGCTGGAGCCACCAGGAGCTAGGAAGAGGCAAAGGAGGGTTCTCCCCGGAGACTTCAGCAGGGTCCCAGCTCTGCTGAAGCTTTTATTCCAGGCTTCAAGCCTTTGGAATTGTAAGAAAATAAATTTCTGTTATTTTAAACCACTCAGTTTGTAAAGTGTTTGTTTGTTTATTTGTTTGTTTTGGGCCCAAGTTGACATGCAACTGCACTATTCTCACTATAATTCAGTTTCCTGCTTAGTTCGAAGGGATGTCATATGAAGCCAGGAAAATCCATACAAACGTATGTGGCTCGCTCTACCTCCCAGTAAGGCCTGTGGCAGGGAACGTGGGCGAAGTCAGGTCTGAAGAAGGGGGCGGCTGTGGGAGGAACAGACCAGGAAGCCTCAGAGCAGGCTGACTCCAGAGCACTGGCTGTAACTGCCACCAACCCTCACCAGGGTTCTGGGAAACAGGCACACTGCTCAGTATTATCTCCATCCTGCAGATGAAGAAACCGATGTTTCTAGACATTAACAGTTATGTAACAGTTATTCAGTCAACAACTGTACGGGGGCAGATATAGAAACCAGATTTTCTTATTCCTAGTCTCGAGAGTTTGCATGGAATCATGCAGCCTCTACTTAACAGTTCCGAGGGAATCATCTTGGACTAAAAACTAGAAAGGAAAAGGACAGTATCAGCTATTGTCACAAAAAAAGGTTCTTTTGTATGAGGAAATTTCCCAATCAACTAAGGCATTCCTGTAAATACCACTTTCTTTATTTTAACTATTTCATATAGAAGTCTTTCCTGCTTCTATGATCTCTCTCTCTCTCTCTCTCTCTCTGTCTCTCAGACCCTGCTAAGTTGTCCAGGCTGGCCTCAAACTGGTGATTCTCCTGCCTCAGCCTCCCAAGTGGGTGGGATTAAAGGCATGTACCACTGTACTCAGTTTTTCCTCCCTTCTAGAACAAGTTATACAAAGATGACTTGATCTCTTCCTGCTGGCATGGGCACCGATCACTGTTCATACCTTTGTTAAGATGCTTCGATTCCTCAAAAGAGACAGACAGAATAGTGCAGGTGCAGCCTGAGGCAGCGCACTTGGAGGCCCACGGGAGGCTCCACCACTCCCTCCTCCTAAGGCCCAAGGCTTCCTCTCACGTAACCCTAAATCCACACTGGGAAATAAGCTGAGTGCTTTCCTGTAGGCTCTCGTGAAATCTCCCAGCCTCCTGGGGATATGGTGAGCCTTAATCTTCATGTTGCAGATGAGGGAATCTGTGGCCAGAGACTTCCTGCCACTCATCCTTACTCAAGAACTGGGAGGACACTGGGTTGGTGGCAACCATGTACCTGAGATGTGTCTGTGCTGAACAGGAGCCCAATTAAGAGACTTCAGGGTTTCAGCGAGGACTCAGGGAGAGGAGTCAGTCCTCACCTGGCATGAAACACTCTTGAGTGCCTCTGCAGAAACTTTTGAAGACTAAGATGTGACCTCCATACTGGACTGGCTAATCTAAGTCTCTTGTCTAGTCAACTCTGCAAATCCACTAGCTGGGCCTATAATCAATCCCAGCACTTGGGAGGCTGAAGCAGGAGGATTGCTGCAAGCGCAAAGCCAGCCCAGGCTGTTACACAGTGAGAACTACATAGCAAGATCCTGTCTCAAAAAGACCAATACCACTGCTACAATAATAATACAAAGGAACTCCCCATGGAGGTGAACTATGATGTAGAGGAAAAGCCAGGGAATCCCCAGCCCCAGCCCATGTCAGTTTCTCTCAAAGCTGGTGGTTGGTGACAGCTCCTACTTATCAGACCTGTGTTCTCAAACTCCTTGGTCCCACTGTGCACAGACAACTTCAAGCTTGGCTAAATGCTTAGCAAGGTCATCAGGCAAGCATGTGACCCACAATCCCACTGTGATCTTCCAAGGACTCTCATGGTATAACCTAAATCCTCGGTTCTTCTCTCTGAGGGCAGAAGCTTTACATAGACCTAAGAAGCTCCTTGGCCAGGACACTGCTGGTGCAGCCTTCATGGCTGACCAGGGTGGCTACACCCAAGTTAACCAAAGCTTCTAACCTGAGGGCTGCATTTCTAGGTTCCCACACTGCTCTACCAAACCATGGACACTACAGGTGGCTAAGAAGGGAAACCATGTGGATACAAGAAATTGCCACTCATCATCTATTGTTTCCCTTCCAGGGTGCAGAGGCTAGAAAGCTAAAAAATAAATTTTTCTGGCTTTCTCCCTGCCAGGGTTTGATTTACAAATCAATGCTCCAATGAGAAGCATTGTGGGAGATTTGGAAGTTGGAAATGAGGAGGCATTATTTTTCTTGTAGCTTCTCCTGCTGTTGTGGGCAAACAGGTTTGTACAACAGGTTTGTGCAGGCAGGAGTTTTTCTGTAGTGCGCTTCAGCTGCATCGTGGCTGGGTGGCAATTCTGGTGGAGGTAGTGAAGTTTTCCTGATTGTTACATTTGAGCTCAGGTCACATGTTCTGGAAGACCTCAGGCCCAGCAATGGCTCCTGATCTAGCATCTGTCCTCAATGATAGTGGAAGCGGGCAGAGAAGTCTTCCCTGCAGGTGAGAGCAGCAAGTTATTCTGACAGTCACTTGGAGTCCCAGCCTTACACCCAATTCTCCAGCCTTTCCGATAATTTTGAATGTAATTGGTTCCCTGTATTAAATTCCTTTCTGCTTTAATCACCTAGGTAGATTTTGTTTCCTGTGATTGAACTGTGACCTGAGTTTTAATTCAAACACAAGTCTCCAGTTTCTCTAGGCAGTGCCTAAAGATCTTCAGATTCTTATTAATGTAGGGCTAATACTAGTTTTTACCTCTTACCATAGATCATCATTTAGGGATTTGGTGTTAAACATAAGAGTTTTAAATGGAAAATATAGTCTTTTCATACATTTAACAAAAATGTATAGAACATCTTGTATGTTCAAGGCACTTTCCTAAAACTCAATAGCAGAGAAAACAGTGGAACAGTGACACCACACATTGTTTGTAATGAGATGAACTGTCACTCTGCCCTATCTATGCTTCTAGGGGCACGTTGCCTAATACTATCTCCAAATCTGACTGAATGAATACAGAGACTAAGAATGATTACAGCACCTTTAGGAGTGTTCTAAGTTACCTGAACACAGAGGAGATGTCTGCAAGGATACACAGTGCATAAACGGGGCTCAATGAGTGGTAGTTCTCTTCCTATAGTCTCTCCCAGTTAAAAGGTAAGTACTGTGCATGCAGGGACCTCAGCTCTTATCAGCTAAGACATCTCAGTGTTCAGAAGAGGGCCTGATGGATAAAAGACATTCAGTAAGGATCTATCAAGTGAATTAACCTCCCAGTCACAAATCTCTGAAGACAGTGACTTCAACCAAAGCACGTTCGAAAACCAAACTGTTACTGTTATTTACAGAAGTAGTCCAGTGTACAACTAAGTTAAAATATATCTAGCTCCCCAAAAAATGTCCAAAACCAGAGCCGGATGAAATATCATTAGGTACACCGAAAAGCAACCAAAATACACACAGAATATCCCTCCCTAATTACATGTCTTCATTGCCTAGATATTGTTGAATTTTTGTTTCTCGAACAGTTTCTCCCTGTTTGTAAGCATTTTTGTGGCATTCCTAAAATCCTCTTTTCCCGGAGGTTCTTGCTGAGAAGAGACAGAGTAAAAGACAGAATTGTGACTCCCTGGGAGACAAGACGTGGAAACCCCACAGACCCCTTCCTCCAGTCTGCTGTGCTTCAGAGGAAGGTTTGTTCTAGAAATGTGAATTAAGAAGCTCCTCTGTTGGTCCTGGAGGGAGTGTGGGTGTCCAGCCAAGTGTGGCGCGGGGTTCTGGTCTCTGTGACACCATGTGCTGGGGCTGGCTCCAGAGAGAGGGCCTGTACCCTGCTCATGTACCGTGACATAAGCCCCAGCTTTAGCGCTTCAGGCAGTCAGTAAATAGCCCTAGGGAACGTCTAGATTCAAGCCCAAAGTAGGTAAAATCAGATAATTCTATTGGAGGCAGCATCTCTTTTATGTTATGGAAAACACTAATCAAGTTCAGATTGTCAGTGGTTGCTAGACATGTTTTTCTTTTTTCTAATGAAATGGTCCCCAGCTTCTGGTCCCTGTAACTTCCAACCACTTTAAAAATGGGAGACTCTCATCTCCATACTGCCTGCCTTCTGGTATATCTGGAAGGGAAATGCAATTATAAATTATAAAACACAATTTGAACAAACAAAATAAAACATGATACTAATTAGGGCCAGTTCCTGGAAAAACAAAGGGGCCTGTTTTCCATATGCCCAGACCTGTTACTGATTTATTGGCTGAATGGTCTGCTCCAGAAAGCATTTGGAGAAGCCCATGTGCCGTAAAGTGCTCAAATGCTTCCAGGTTTCAATCAAGACTGAGTATTTCTTGGACAGTCCACTCTTAATGCTCGAGCCACATTGGCCACTTTTCAGGGCCTAGGAGGTAACTCACTTGCAGGCTAAGAATTATAACAAAAGCCAGTTTGAGTGATGGGAGGAAACATGATCTAAGAGACCCCAACCTGGAACCCAGATGACATTAATCCATGCAATGTACCTGTGCCCTTTACACCTTACGCTTCTGCAAGCATAAGCATCTAGTACTCTTCTCTTTAAGAGTTGTATCTATAAGAATGAAACCCACCTAGCACTGTGTTAATGAAAGGATCTTGCCCTTCACATATACTCCCCAAATATTGGCTCTTTACCTTTTGTATTGCACATGTAGGTTCATAGGTGTTTTCTCTGATGACTACGCATTCAGTGTGTTGGTTGGAGACCCATTTACTGAACCGTGGGTTACGAGGTTTCCACCCGCTGGGAAGAAGGGAGCCACCATCTTTGCTACCACAGCACGACCTGACCTGATGCACTGCCACCACCCCTACTGCCAACTCCTCCCAGGAAACTTCTAGTACTCGCCGGACACAAGCCCTTACTATGTATTAATTCATTTAACCACACACATTTTACCCATGAGGTGTTGGGGTCTGAATCTTGGCTGACACCTGACTCCCCAGTAGATACAGTCACTTCATGTAAATATGACGCACTCCTGCCCTCAAACATCTCAAAGACCAGCGGAGGACACACAAAGGCAAATAGATGACTGCAGTCCTGGATTTTTAAACTTGTGTTTGGCATTTTCTCCCCAGCAAGCATGCATACATGCATAGTGAAAAAAACTCAAAGACATCAGAGAGGAAACCCTGTCTTCCTGTTCTGTCTCAGCTGTAGTCTTTGTTCTCCACCTGGCCCTGTGCTTATGGTTCCCTTAAGTCTCAGATTTTTAGCAACGTCATCAATTATTGCTTCCCACCATCCTGCTTCCTGCTATCAGACCTTCCACTCAGGTATGGACAGCTCATTGTTGATCATATCAAAATCCAAACTCCTCTACCTGCCTTGTAAAGCCACCATAATCTCACCCCACCCTATCTGTTCAGTTCTCTTTCCCACAAAGGGCAGTTCACACCCACTGAACCAGTCAGGCTGTTATCTGAACTGTGGAGGCAGCAACCCACACACCTCTGCAACAGCGTTCAGCACCTCGGATGACCTTGCTACTGCCCAGGTCTCCAGCTATCTAAGTTTAGGTCCTGCTAAAGCCCCACCTCAAGCCTCAGGTCTACAGTCAAAGCATCCCCATTGCTGCAGCACGCACCAATCCCTTTATACGTTCCTAATAATGTGTAGAACAGAAATGATACCTAACTTCTACTAAGCACTTACTATGTGCCAGGCCCTGTTGGAGACAAGTAGTTTTGTTATTCCTATTTACAGGTGAAGAAACACAGACAAAGGGAAGACAGCACTTTCAGGTTAACACTTGATTGTTTCCTATTTGTTTCACATGTATTCCCCCGGTCTTCCTAATTAGCTTTCTACTTCATTGAGAGCAGAGAAAATTTCATATCTATGCCACACTTCCCACACAATTAGTAGAGTGCTGGGCCTACTATAAGTTATTAGGTAGTGCTGCCGGTTGGTCATGCAGATGTTAGACATCTTTTAAAGTTCCTACCCTGCAAGAGTTGCACTATGTTTGTAAAATGAGTAAATAAATGCTACACAAATGCGGTTTTGGAGAATTCATAGTCTACAAATGGCCCCGTGTCATTCTAAATTATGCTTGCTGTACCCATCTTCTCATACTCCTGAGACATTGAAGGTGGGAAACCACAGACGAGCTGTCAGTAGATAATGGCAAAAATTAAGTAGCAGTTTTGGAGGGTTATAGGGTAGCGGCAGAGGTCACTGCCCAAGAACTGGCTTTTCTGGTTTCATTAAAAATCTGGTGACAGTATGATTTTCCCCAGCAATCAAATATTTCAGCCACAATATTGTGGGATTCCTCCAAATCTCTTCTAGTATATTATTTTTTCTTAAGAACTAAGGTGGGTAGAGATATAAGTGCAGCAAAGATAAATGTCATTGGCCGGGGGTTTAGCTCAGTGGTTCCAGTGTCTGCCTCGCAAGCACAAGGTTCCGAGTTCAATCCTCGGTACCAAAAAAAAAAAAAAGATAAATGTTATAGTATAACTATCACTGTAAAGGAGGGCAAAGACTGTGATTTAGACTACAACTTTGATATTTAGACTACAACTTTGATATTTAGTAATAGATATAATTATTTCTTAGAGTCATAACTTCCATAAGAATTCACAGTATTCCTTTTCCCTCCCACTTCAAATCAAAACTTCAACAAAGGGCAAAACTATAGAGAAAAAAATTCTATTTTCAAATTCTGACATTAGCCCAACTGCAATTTATGAATTCCTGACTAAACTCATAAGCAAAAAGGAACATACAGTTTTAAACCAGCATATCAAAGAAGCAAGTCTGTCTTACCAAAAAGCCATCCTAGTCGAAGGTTTCACTGACTACTTACTGCTCCTTTTCACTGATGCCAGCGTTTTTCTTACTTGGAAAAAAAAAAATCCAACGAGAAAAAAGCAAGACATTTATATATTTTGTCTAGTAGTTTCTTAAAACCACAGCTTATTAGGATTTCCTTCATTGTCAACTGAAGCCAGGGACATTTCCCATCTGATCCTGTAATAATTTCAGTTTTAGAGATAAGCTGACTTGAAAAACATTCTCCTGTAGAAGTGGGTTTCAAACTAAAACCACTCAGTCAGAGAAAACATTGTTTCATGGTAAATGATAACATGTCCTATCTTTCCTGCAATTATAGAAAAAAACCCCAGCTCATTGAGAATGAATTGGAATTACTTCTTCCTTCTCATTTACCACTCTCTGTGTATCTAACTTAAGGTTTTCAGACCTAAGTATATCTTTTTCCCACAATATGTATTAGCTTTTGCATACAGTTTGGTAATTTTCAAGTTAAACATTTATTTTATATTATTAATAATAAACTCCAATGTTCACTAGAAATTATTTTGCAACTGCAGTGGACCCTTGACTTACAAACTCAATTCATTTGCGAAGGCTGGTTGTAACCCAAGTTGGTTGTAAGTCAAGACTATTTTCCTGTAAGAAATAATGGCAATACCCATAATGCATTTTGAACCTCCCAAAGCACCCCTTAACTAATCTTTTCATAATAAAAGTGTTGTGTAATGTGCGTAAATGACCAGAAACACCAATGATTTTCCTAGTGTGCTCACCAAAAAGTTATAAATGTACCTCGTTTACCAGAAACAGGTTCACACTACACTCGTCATTCAAGTTGATATCTTTGCCTTGTGGGAAGGAAGGATGAAATGGAAGGTGGTTATTGCTTGGAAGGTGAGTCCCCTTCCATGAGAACATGAGGACTCTTGGCTCCCTGGTGTCCTATATTTCCTTAGAAGAGTCTGTAGCCCACTAGGACCTGCTTCTGGCTCACTAGGTCTCAACCTTTTCACAACTAAAAAACTGGTCTAAGGTTATCTGTTTCTGTCTTTTTGTTCTGTAGTATGACATGGCATTGTCGCTGAGCAGGTGAATGCAACGATTGGCGTTTTCTCTTTCTGGCTGGGTCTTCTACAAAATGTTTGTGGCTCTGTCCATTTTTTTAGGATTTGCTTTATTTCAGAAGAAGAACTTCGCTGCACTGATTGTTGATACTCCCCCTCCTCTTCAGAAAGCTTCTCAGCTGCCATTCTCTGCTCCTCAGCCAGAAGTTGCTGAAGTTCCTCTGCAGTTCCTCTGAGTGTTCCTCCACCAGTTCCTCAACATCACCACTGTCTACCTGCAAGCCTGTGAACTCTGCTATAGTGACAGTGTCATCGACTACAGGGTCAATTGAAAGCTCGGGATCTTCTACACAGCCTTTTAAGACTCTCTCCTGTACGATTTTAGGCCATGCTTTCTTCCAAGCAGATCTGTGTCCTTAGAGACACATTGGCTCACACAGGAAAGGACATTGTAATGTTTCTTTCAGGACTCTTTAAGGGTTAAATCTGTATCTGAGACCATCTGGAAGCACTTCAGGAAGAGTTCCTTGATTTTTTTTTTTTTTTGGTACCAGGGATCAAACTCGGGTCCTTCCACTTGCAAGGCAGGTGGCGGAACCACTGAGCTAAATCCCAGGCCCAATGTATAGTTTCTTAAAGTTAGCTACAACCTGCTGGTCCACAGGCTACAGTAGAGGAGTTGTAATAGGTGGGAAGAACTTGACTGACAGCTATGGGAATTCTTCAGCCAATTCTTCTTCCAAATCTTGTGGGTGAGCAGGAGCACTGTCCATGGTAAGGAGACCCTTGAGTGGTAAACCTTTGTCCTCTAGATATTTCTTATCAGTAGGACAGAAAGCCTCCCTGTTCCACTCAAGAAAAAGTACTCTTGTTACCCAGGCTTTTGCATTAGATCTTCACATGACCCCTAGCCTGTTATTCATGACTTTGTTTTCTGAGCATTCTAAGGGTCTCAGAGCAAAAAGCCAAGACAGGCTTTATCTTGAGGTCACTACTCACATTGGCACTCAGCAATAAGGTTAGCCTATCCTTCATAGGCTTGTGGCCTGGCATTTTCTTCTCTTCCTGGGTAATGTATGTTCTCCTGGGCATTTTCTTCCAGAAAAGGCCAGTTTCATTACAGTTGAAAACTTGATGAGATTAAAAGCCATTTCTCTGTGTCATCGTTTCGAAGCGGTGTATGTAAGTTTCAGCAGCCCCTTTATCAGCCCTGGCTGCTTCACCATGCCTGGTTACACTATGAACCCCAGTTCTCACTTTAAAATTGTTGAAACCACCCCTTACTGGCACAAAATGTTTCACCATGATCACTCATTGACAGATTATCCTTTACGAGATCTGCATTTATAGCCCTAGCTTTTTCACAAATTAAAGACTCAGATAGGCTATAACCTGCCATCTGCCTTTCGTTTATCCACACTAATAATAGCTTTTCTGCCTCATCTAACACTGTTGATCATGGCTTACTAATTTGAGTAACACCTTTAGCAACATTAACTTCCTTATACAAATCTTTTCTCTGTGAGATTGTCCAGATGGTGGATTTCGACATGCTGTACATATTAGAGAGATCAGTCACATGAATGCCACTCTCATATTTTTCCATAATTTCCTTCTTTCCAATTGTGATTGTTTCCTTTACCTTCCCTTTCTTCCTTAGCTTCTTTTCTAGGCTTTTTGTAGCCATTTTGATAGCAGTAATTGTAGTGATTATACAAAGTACTGACCAGAATCACGTCCACAAATACATACAACTGAGCTCAGACTGATGCTTACGTACATTTACATACGCTTTTCTGGCATCAAAAGTCTTTGTTTACAACCACACAAGCAGTCAGCATTTGAGTCGTAACTCAATACTTCGGTTGTCAGTTAAAACTAAAATTCTGTCATAACCCAAGTTGTTCGTATGGAAGGCTGGTCGTAACTCAAAGGTCCACTGTGGCGTTTTTTCCCTTTTGTGTCCTGCCTATTCACCTGTTGATGGATTGAATGGCTAATCAAATACTTTTTTCAAGAAGGGATCCCCTGGGGTATATTTTTCTTCCTTCTTTTAAATCTGAAAATGAATTCTTTCAGCCTTTGCACGTAATCATCACACTAGCTGAATATTGAATTATTAAGGAAGAGCCTTGTTACCTAGAATGGTGTTTTAGCCTTAAAAAACAGATACACCTGAGTCCAGAGACCCTTTTAGTAAACTGCTCAATTCTGTCTAAATGCCTGAAGGGTTCTTTCTTTAACCTGGAAATTCAAAATATTTTACGAGATATGTGTCTGTATGAGTCTAGTAATTTTAATTTTATCTCAGATCTTCAGCTCAGGAAAATGGTCTCCTACCATATGTTCGAGCATTATTTCCACTATTTTATTCACTTTATTCATTGGGAATAAATATAATTTTTACATTAGCTCTGTACGGCCTTCTGAGTTAGCATTTTCACCTTGGTTCTTTTCCCCTTATTTTGTCTTCTGCTTTAGAGTAGAGTCTTCTCTCTCTTTCCTGGCCTCAGTACCTGTTTTCATTCTGCTTTGGTAGTTTTGGTATATCTGCTCTTATTTCTCATTTCCACCTTTACAAATCTGCCTTTGTCCCAGTCTGTTCTCTTTATGGCCTCTGGTTCCACTCTCATAGTGGCTCTGTCTGCCTGATCATATTGAGGGTACTAAAAATATGCCTGCTAAAATGTTCTCTTGCCTGGAAAAATTTATTTTCAGAGATACAATCTTACTTCAACATTTAATGGAAAGGCATCCTTTCCCTTATCTTGCAATATTCTTTTTTTAGGTCTTCTTTGGGCATTTTCCCACCTATTCATACTAGAAAAGAGAATGATATGTTCTGGGCTGCCACTTACCGATGGACAGTGTTGATGTCTTGGCCACTTTACTCTGTGATGGCACAAGATACCCAACACCCACAAGCTAAGGAAGGAGAGGTTTATTGTGGCTGTGTTTCAGTCCATAGTCAGCTGGCTTCAGAGCAGGATGGCATGGCAGACCAGACAGAGAGAGAGAGAGAGACAGAGAGAGAGACAGAGAGAGAGAGAATGAATATGGGAGATGAACCCTTCTAGGCCCCATCCCCAGTAACCCACTTCGGACAAAACCCCAGCTCCTAACAGCAAATCAGCTATAAACCCCCATAGCCCAGTCACCTTCCAAAAGCCCTGCCTATAAATGCATGAGGCTCCTGGAGGACATTTAGATATAAACCGTAACAACTGAAGAGTCTTCAAACTCCCTCACTTTGCTCTGGGCATAAGCAGAGCAGATCTGAAGCTTAAGCTGATAAATACCTCCCTCCTTCAATTTCCAGGGTCTACCAGCTATTTACCTGGCTCAGGTAGCTGAGCACCAGGCTGGGGCTCCTTTGCTCTAACTGCTGCGATTTCTGACCTGTAAGAGAGAGGCTGTGTGACAATCCACTGTTCTGTTTTAGTGAGTTCTGCATAAAAGGCCACATGCCCTCCCAGCATGCACTGACTGCTCTGGGCTTTCTCCTCCTGTCCCACCCCCCACCCCCAACACCCATCATGGTACTTTTTATCACACAATTAGTCATTCTAGAATGCAACACACTTCTGTCTCCACCTACCTCTTGCTCAGCCTCAGACTGGGAGCCATCATCTTTGACTAAATGTAAAAAGGGAGAAATTGAGCAGTTGGGTGAGGGGCGTGATTCTGAATTTGTTTTTTGTTATTTTAAAAGATAGTTTCTTTCTTGTTAGACCATTTGCTTTTCTGGCCAGTGCAGATTCAAAGTCCTGAAATAGTAGGATGCCAATGATGGGAGCAAGGTACATTAGGTTTCTATAGCTCTCAGCACCAGCTGAATCTCTCTGGTTCAATATGTGAGGCATGTGGTATATGTATAATCTTAAGAATATGCCTCTCAGCTCATCCACTGACAGTTATATCAATAGGCATTCCTCTGTGGTCCTCGGCATATGGCCTATCTCTATCTCAAATTTATAGTCTATTGTTCTTCCTTTTTTTTTTTTCCGGTACTGGGAATTGAACTCAGGACCTTGCACTTGCCAGGGAGCCTTGGCACCACTGAGCTACATTCCTGGCCCTTTCTTCCTTTTTCTTGTTCTTCCTTTTTCATTCTTTTTTTTTTTTTTTTTTTTTTTGTAGTTTCATGGGTATTTTCACATAAAGTTTGGGAAGAATCGTCTTAATTATTACCTGTCCTCTACTATGGTGGTCTACCAGTAAGAATTTTAAATGCTGGTAGCTAGACCCATACAGGTAATCTGTAACATACCTATAGTAAGTATTAAATTAAACAAAGGGATAACAGATTTTTCTCATGCCACAGATTCAACAGACAGAGAAATAATGCAATAGGCCAATCGTACCATGGCTCGTGCTGTATGCAGAGGCAAACTACAAGGTCCAAGGCAGTGACCCCGTTCCTGGAAGTGGAATGAGAACACCCTGTGAGATTGCAGGTATCATCACTTAGTCCAGGTAAAATCCACCCCCAGCAAAAGTTGCACTTTTCTCTGCTCTACAGCAAGAACACCTTGTTTATCCAAAAGAACCAAGAAAAAAAGATATTTCTTATATCCAATCAAGAGCCAGGCTGACCCACACATGTCCTCGGGGTTGAATGCTGCTTACATAAATCAATTTATAAACAAAACAACTGCATGCCTCCTGGCTGAGGAAATGATGAAAAATGCAGTCTGCTTGGAATCTAGGAAAGGGAAAACAGAGAACAAGAGTGTGTGAGTGTGACTCTGTCACTATCTAAGAGAGAGAGAGCGCGTTCTGGCTGGCCGAAACAAGCCCTGTCATTCTCTTGGTAGGAACATCCTTATCTTGGAAGTAGAGATTCTCATAACTGATGACTCTATTATTAAGATCATCTCGCTCCCTTTCCTCTGAGCCCATGAGCAATCTCTCACTTTCCACATAAGGCTTTCCTTCAGTTCAAGGGAAATCTGAGCAGGAACAATGTGGCTCTGTTAGTGAACTGATAATAGAACCTACTTCTGTAGTTAAGTCAACATCTTGACTTCAGCCACAGCCATTTGATACAGCAAAATGAACCGTGCTGTGAACAAAACTATTTCTTTGCTTATCCCTCCCATGTCCAAATAGTTTCTGTGGTTCCCTGTTGCCTTCGTACTGAATTCCAGGTTTCTGAATATAACCCTCAAGATCTTCTCAATTGTCCTCCATTCCCCAGTGTGGATGACATATCTTCCCATCTTCCAGTCTGGCCATTTCAGTGCCTTCACAAGTGCTGCACTCATCTCTCATCTCTTCTTCGCCTCATGCTTCCTCTCTACTAACCAAAATCTTACAAGTTCAAGGACAAGGTCAAGCCCACCCTTTCCCTTGAAAACTGTGCTAGCCACCACACCAGCCCTACTGATTCCTGCACTGTACTGCCTAGAATTCTTGGTCTACTTTCTTGGTCTACTTTCCTGCTGGCCCTAAATTGCCACATACATTCCTGCTAACTTTCATCACCACTCTACCCTCTTCTCTATTATCTAAGCTTCGTGAAATGTTGTTATGCAGGGTTTAACTGCTTTGTGTATATGTCTGGCCCCTCAGTCTTCTAAGGGGAGAGAAATTTAATGCCCTTATTGTCACTGTGCTAATCACAGTGATGTGGACAGATAAGCATCTTGGAATTTTCCTGAATTAGAATGAAATGTAAATCTTTCCATACTGTTAAAATGCAAACCCATAAGAGGTACTGCCTTAGCTCTCAGCCATGTCCCCTGTTGGGGGGAGTGAGTTGGCCTATAATCTAGGTCTTTTTCCTGTGAGGTAAAATAGCACAACAATTAAGACAGAGAGAGAGAGATTCAAATCCCTGCTTGGTTATTTTTATCTGTAAACTTAGGGCAAGTTACTTAGACTCTCTCAACTAGGTTTGCTCATCTGTAGTGTGGGGAGTTCATAGAATTTTGGCGATGACTAAATATGATCATGTAAGTGATGTCTACACAGTGCTTCACACAAGGTAGGTGCTCCGTTAATGTTAACTGTGCCTAATGAGAATTCCAAAGGACACTTTCATTTGAGTCATCCCATTGAGAACTCAAGGATATAGATCAAGAGACACTGCATAAGACTTTAAAGCTATTGAGATTAAAAAAGGAGAGAAAACAAGATTAGCTCTAAGACTATGACTATCAGTCTTCAGTATTGAGTGAAAAACAAAGATGCTGCCACCTCACAAGTGCATGTTTGAGAATAAGAGAAAAGGATTAGCAGAGGGACTAGTGCTATAGGAAGGGGAAAATTCTCAGAGATGGAGGCAAAAGCCTATCCCCTGACCTGAGGCATCAGTCCAGAAACAAGAAGAAAGGTTTCTGATGAGCCTCCAGGTAGTGTCCTCAAACAAAATGTATCCTGTTTCAACCTGTCCAGATGTGCTCACCAGGTGGCGTGTGAAACAGGAAGAACCAGACCACCCTTCCTGGGTGGACCATGGCGGGTTGATCTGAAGCTGTGAGCTTGGACAAACACTATCTTCGGGACTCAAACTCAGCTGGGGCAGTGGCAATGGTGGCCAGAAAGGGCAGCAAAAGGGCCAAGGATTTAGCTCAGTAGTGCCGCTGCCTGCCTTGCAAGCACAAGGTCCCAAGTTAGATCCCTGGTACCAAAAACAAAAACAAACAAACAAAAAAGAAAGGGCAGCAAAAACTGATGCCTCCAGTGAGAGGATCCACCTTCACTGGAAGCCTTTGAAAATGACTCTGGTATGAATTAAGATGCAAATAAGACTGCGAGGGGACTGACAGCCACCTACTAGAGTGATTTAAGGCCAAGACCTCATTGTCCCCAAGCCTGATACAGCTCAGACCAACTCTGGCTGTAAATCATTACTCTGAGTTGGGAAGCAGATGCAGCAGGCAGTGCATCAGCTCCTCACCCCGTTCCCACAGCCTCCCCCATCAGCCTGGGTACCCTCATTCGGCCACTCTCCAAAATAACTGAAGTCCTTATACCTCATTTGAAAATTATTTCCCAAACTTCTCAGGGGTATCAACTAGTAAGTGTTCCAGGGGTAACCATTAGGGCTTATCACATGTAGGGACAAATGTTCTATAGAAGCACACACTCCATTATCCTCAATTAAATCTGGTAACAGACATAAAGCACAGCCTTGGGGATTAACTTGCTAAAGTGTTTAAACAAAGACTCTGGTGCTTGTGCATGAGGAGCATTTCAAAAATTCACATGAGCCATAAACCTGGGTGAGGGCAATAGGGTGCTTTGAATTCTTGACAGAGGCTTCAGCTATGAGGCTAAATTCAGATGAGCTGAGGATAAGACTTGAGAACTGCAAAGCAGGGACCCTATTTGCTTTCCTCCAATAAGTGTCTCTCCAGGCAGCAGCTGACCAAAGAAAAAGGATCCCTAGAACCCACCCTTAAATCTCTAACCTTCATTATGGCAGGTCTTGCCTACATAGGCCCTTTGAATTTAATAAACTATATCCTTCACTTATGGGAAATATTCTTACATTATTTGTTCTTCTTAAAAGAAAAAAAAAAATTGAAACCTGGACCTCCTGGAGCAATCCTCTCAAATTCTTATCATTAATCTAGAATTTTCAATTACTGTTGTTTTTGTTCCCCTTGCTAGCTTTCTTCCACTTATCTTCAGAATCTTCTTTTGACATATACATATATTTAATTTCAGTTATCGTATCTTCCTTTTCCAACAGCACTGATTTTAAATGGTTCTGGACATTTTATAATGATAAAAACAATACTTCCATCAGGACAAGATAAGAAATGTAATAGAGCCTACAAATACAGGAAGAAAAAAATAACAATTAAAGGGAGAAATAGACAATTACACAGTTATAACAGGAAATTCTAGCACCTCATTAGCAAACAATTCAAACAAAATTTTTGTAAGACCTCTGCATAGAGATATGAACACTATCAAGCACCATCTACTTGACATTTATGGAATATAACATCCAACAACTGCAGAATATGCACTCTCTTCAAGTGCACAGAGTACATTTAAAAGATAGGCCATATGCTGGACAATAAAACAAGCCAATAAATTCTAAGAAACTGAAATATACAGTGTTTTTTCTAACCCCAATGAAATTAAGTGAAAAATCAGTAACAATATAGTATGTAAGTAAAATCTAAAGATCTAGAAATTAAACACTACCTTCTTAAATAATTTATGAGTCAAAAACAAAATCACAAGGCAAACAAGAGAATATTTTTAGCTGAATGGGAATAAAACACAGTGTACCAAAATTTGTGGAATTCTGTTGAAGTAGCTTTAAAATGTATATTATATAAAATAGAAAAATCAGAAAATGATAAAAATAAAAGCAAGAACTACAAAAATAAATACTCAACAGAAAAAATTATCAAACCAAAGCTGAGTTTTAAAGAAGATCAACAAAACTGACAAACTCCAAGCTAGATTGAATGAAAGAGGGAAAAAGAGGGAGAAAGAAGCCAAAAATATTACCAATAAAAGGAATGAAAAGAGGGTCATCACCAATATAGATTCTGAAGATATTTAGAGCATTAAAAAATGAAAATCTTGATGCCAACAAATCCAACCCTTAGGTTAAATGAAAATTCTTGAAAAATACAACTTACAACAAAATTGAAGCAAGAAGAAACAGAACATCTAAATGCTCTGTATCTGCATAAAAGCTGAATTTGTTATCAAAAAGCTTCTCCAAAATGACACTCCAAGTATAGATGGTTTTAGTGGTGAGTTCAATCCAACATTCAAGGAAGAAATAACATCAATCTTACACAAATACTTTTAGAATATAAGAGGAAGAAGGAACATTGCATGTACATTTTATGATACTATTCTAACCTTAATACAAAAATCTGACAGATATCATGAAAAAAATTCAGACCAATCAATATTTCACATGAGTATAGACAAAAACATTTGTGTGTGTGTATGTGTGTGTTGTGTGTGTGTGAGTGTGTGTGTGTGTGCTGGAGATTGAACCTTGGAAGTTGCAGGTGCTAGACAATTATTCTACCACATTCCCAGCCTTAGACCAAAAATAAAACAGAAACAAAAATCTTAACAAAATATTAGAAAATTAAATCCACCAACATTTAAAAGGTGAAAGACTTACACAATCTGAAAAGAAACCAGAATATCCAGCAACATTTAAAAAGAATACAATATCCTAGTCAGAGACTTTATCCCAGAAATATAAATTCAGCTTAACAATAAAAAATGAGTGTAATTCACATATTAACAGAATAAAAAAGTAAAATCATATGATTATTTCAATAGAGATAGAAAAAGCAATTATAAAATTCACCTCCTGTTCATGAAAAGAAAGTTCATATATCTTTATATTTATGATAATGGCAGAGAATTTCCCCAAACTGATAAAGATCTTCTACAAAAAAAAGAAAAACAGCTAACCTTATGCTTAATGATAAAAGACTGAACTATTCTCATGTTTGAGAACAAAACAAGAATAGTTCTTTTCACTTCTACCAAACATTGCCCTGGAAGGTAGAAGTAGGGCCAAAAAAGAAAAAAAAAATAAAGAAGCATTTATAAAAGAAGAAAACTCTTATTTTCAACTGATACAGCAGTTTATATAAAAAAATTCCCAGGGAATTTACAAAATGATTATGTGAACTGTTGAGAGAATTTAACAAGGTCACAGGATATAATGTTGACATGTAAACACTTTTATATATATGTGGAAAATGATTTGAAAATAAATTTTGAAAAATTTCAAGTTTTATTAACACTTCAAAAAAAACATAAAATAGGAATAAATATACTAAAATATTTCTATGATGTTTATACTGAACTCTGCAAATCACTGATGACAAAAAAGAAGGCTAAAATAGAAAAATATACCTTATTTATGAATTGGAAGACTCAACATGGTTATGATCCCAAATTATTATTTTCAATATCAGAGAAAGTCCTACCAAAATCCCAGCATGCTACTTTGTAGAAATTGGTAGGCTTCTTATAAAATTTATGTTGAATTGAAAAGAATTTAGAATAACCAGAGCAATTTTGGAAAAGAAGAAAATTGGTATGCTTAGCTTACTTAAGAGACTTACTGTACAGTTATTGTGTTATCAATACCAGTTTGTACTGGCAAAAAGACAGATTAGATCAATAGATAAACAATACAGATGTAAACCTATACATATATAGTCAATGTATTACATATATGCAATGAGGATTCCATGGGAAAAGAAATCTCTTCAACAAATGGTGCTTTGTACATTTGTATTTAAAAAGGAGTATTAATCTTCATCTCACAATATAAATACATGTTAATTCAAAATACTAGATCCCATACCTAACTATATAACCTACCATGTTAAAATTTCTAAAAATTATATAGGAGAAATCCTTTGTGGTTTTGGTAAAAGCTTCTTAGGACTTAAAAGGCATAAATTACAAATGAAAGTAATTTATAAACTGGGGTTTTCTAATAGCAAGATTTTGCTCCTCATAAGACAATTAAAATATGTAAATGAAAGAAAGTATTCATAATCCATATAAAATACTAGCATCCAGACTATATGAGGAATCCTTATAAATCAACAATAAAACAACCTACATTTTTAAATGAGTAAAAGATTTAAATAAACATTTAACAAAATATGATAAATGTTCAGTAAGCACATGAAAAAATGCTCAATATTATTACTGGGAAAATGAAAATTGAAACTCGAATGAAATTTTATACACACGTTAGAATGACTGAAATTAAAAAGGCTGATCATACCTAGTACTGTTGAGAACAGGGAACAACTGAGACTCACATACTGCTGGTGAAAGGTAAAATGTTAAAACCTCTCTGGGAAATATTGATTGTTTCTTGAAAAGGTTAATGTGTATCTATCATACAATCAGCTGTTCTAATTTTAAATATTTATCAAAAAAAAATGAAAATGTGTTTACCCAAAGGCTTATACGTGTTCATTGCAAGTTGATTTTTTTTGGTACAAAACTACAAACAACCAAAATGTCCATCTACAACAAATGGTGCTATATTCATACAATGGAGTACTATCCAGCAACACAAAAGAACATGGTATTGGTATGTGCAATACTGTGATTCTCAAAATTATGTTCAATTAAAGAAGCCAGACCCCCCAAAAAAGTACTTATTTTATGATTTCATTTATTATGAATTCCATAAAGTACACATTAATTTGTAGTTTCAGAAACCAAATCACAGTTACCTGGACATGGAGGACAAGATGCAATTATAAAATAGTGCGAGGAAGCTCTACTACTGATAGAAATGTACCACTCCTGGTTGTTGCAATGACTTCATGAGTACAAAATTCAGAACTCATCAACTGTACCTCTAAATATCTGCAGTTTATTGTCTATCAGAGATAACTTAATAAATTTACTGAAAAGGTTTTTTGGAATCATCATTTAACGAAGCTAAGCAAAACCAGAAATGACCATTCTGGTGATCCTAAAAATAACATTATTTTTTACCTCTTGACATACCATGTGTGAATTTGCTAAGAACATTAATTACATTTCTCTTCCTATTTTCCATCTATTCCTTATATTGCCTCTTTTCCCTTTGTTTTGTTGTTAATTTGGTTTCTTTCTTGATATTAAGATCCATTCTTTTACTTTCTGATTTGAAGCTTAGTATATGTGGCAGAAGCCAAGCTCCAACACAGTGATTTCTCATCCTTTGCTGATCTACCAGAGATCCAGAAATTGCAGTTTCTACCGGCCATTTCTCCTGGGCCTGTCTGTTTCCCTGGAAACAAATCTCCCAACCTCCTGCCCATGGAATATATGACCAGTTGCCATGTTCTGGGGCCACAGTGGTCAGAAGACCTTACCATCCAGTGTGCAGCTCTTGCTTCCAGTCTGCAGCTCTTGCTTCCAGTCTGCAGACCTGCTAGCTCTTCACAGCTTCAAGATCTGTTTGGAGCCCCTCCCACTGACTCCCTCCTCCCCCTCACTGTCCTGACTCCCTCCTCCCCCTCACTGTCCTGTGTCCCTCAGGATCACCCTTCTGTGGGGGGGATGCTCACCTTTGACTACAATGGAGGCCACTTATCTTTTTGCCTAGGGTGAGGGGGCTCCTTTCCAGCTGCCTTTAAAAATATCTGACTCCAATTCTTTAACTTTTTGGAAGTTCTCTAGCACTAGTTAGCTGGTTTCACCATACATTTTGATCATTAGGGCCCACGCCATCTGTTTTCCATATTCCACAAATTTATTCTCTTTGCTATTTCTTCTGTTTTCATTGTGCCAGGTTTACCAGTATTCTATTTCTTCACTTCTGCTGCTGTGCCATGAGCTTTTCTTCTCCTGCCACCCTGCCTTAGAGGCAGCCGACAGTATGGACTGAAACCTCTACGAACTGTGAGGCAAAATAAACCTTTCCTCCTTTAACTTTGGGGGTCAGATATTGTGTCCCAGTGATGAAGGAAGTAACTAAGAGAGCTACCAAAATGGGAATTTAGAAAATTCATGGTTTTCTCCAGTACATTCAATCAACATGCAATAGGAAAAGTTGTATTTGTCTTGTTTCCAGCCTGCCCCAAACCAAGGAATCCCAGAAGCACACTCATGGAGAACGTTAACAAATGTTAGTGCTGTCACACCACATTTTTTGGACAAGGAAATGAGCAATTAAGTTATTTTCCCAGTGACACACAGCAAGTTGTGGCAGAGACAGGATTAGAATTCTTGGCCTCTGGATTTTCAGCTCATTTCTTTTTCTAGGAGCCTTTCTTTTCTCCTTTTTTTTTTCCTTCTTTTTTCTTTCTTTTGTTATACAGGAACTTACTTTTATTTCCAAAAAAGTTTATACTGATAAACTAGATGCAGAATGGCCCAAGACCAAGGTTTTCTTCATCTACAGGCACATGGTTCAGGAAACACACAAGGCTGATACCCAGCTGGAACCTCCCTCTCATGGCAGCAAGCAGGAGGCGGGTCTATCCACAGGGTCTCAAAGAACTTTGCCACATAGAGCCTCTGATACAGGGGAAGCCACAGCCCTAAAGCCCAGGGATGCAGAATGGCCCACCTCTTCTGGGGGCCAGTTCAGGTTGGCACATGCAGAAGGATGGCCACACCAAAGGAAGAGTTGCTCAGTGATGTCCTCCACACTCACATGATTTTCACCACTTCCAAGGTATCTACTCCTGAAATAGCTTATTAGCACTCACACCCCAGTGAGGCAGCTATTATGGACATCTTCTCATTTATAGAAGAGAAGAAGACCTGAGGCTGGGTGTTGTCACATGACCATTTGGATCACACATCTGGTGAATGGCAGCCAGGCCTGAGACTCCAGAAAAATAATTTGCGACAGTGGTTCCATTGCTTTTTCTCTTTCCTTTCCTTTCCCGGTCTTTCCTTTTATTTCCCTTTTTCTTCCCTGCCCTTCTTTTCTCTCTCCCCATCCCTTTCCTTTCTTTCTTCCTTCCTTTGTTCTTTCCTCTGTCTTCCTCCCTCCTTCCTTCCCAACAGAATTTTATCCGATGAGTTTTATGATAGGAACAGGAAGAGCTAACATTTACTGTGTGCTGTGTGCTGGTTCTGTGTGTGGTGTGTATCTCGGGTGGAAATTCCTCTTCACTCTTGTTATCACTAATGTGTAGATGAGGATGAGTTGAGGACTTAAACCCAAAAAGGCCAAAGTCAGAATCTGCACTCTTCAACTCCTCCCTACCTTGCTTCTCTTTCATTCAAAGTGTTTCTTATTTTGACCAACAAATCAGTCGTAGGCAGAGTTTTCAGAAAAACGTGGTTCTCACCTGTTGGAGACTTCAGTATTATCAGTAAGCCCTTCTTCTGCACTAGGTTTGTATCTTTTGGGAACACCAAAAGACAGACCAGAAAAAGATCATTTTGGAGCTTCCTTTATTTTCTGTCTAGTATAGTGCTAAATGAGCTATTTAGCTCATTGGTTACATTGGGTTCAGCCCTTAACTGGTGAGATTTCTTTGTCATATCGAACATTAGAACAGGTCTAATCTCTGTTATTGCTTTGAACACAAAGGAAATAGTCTTTAACCCACAGCCAAACTTTATGGACAAAGGGGTGGAAAGTTCTATAGGTGGAAGTTTTTTGACACCTTTTATTACTTCCCCTGGGAAGAAATAATTGGAGGTGGCAGCCACTAATAATAATTCATCTATTCATAGCTATGTCTAATCATGGACAGGTTCAATGGTTATAGTGTTTGCTAGCATCTAAGAACAAAAATAAAACAGCAGGCAATTTTAATTCCTGGACTGAGAAATTTCTCATGAAATTCCTTAAACAGTACACATCCCATTTGTTGCAACAGGTATGCTTTATCTTTTGGGAAAGGTATACAAAGATCTTGTGTGAGTTAACTTAAGTACACATGTCTGTGGCTAAAATATGTTACTCCCATTGATTTCCTGTGAGAACGAAGAAAAAAGTCATTATATTTAGCACTGGCAGACTTTGGTCCTACAGAACAAAATTTAACAGAGGGGGTTGTTATCCTTCATGAAAATTACTGCATCCATAAAGAAGGACTTGTTTTCCCTCCCAGTCCATTATTAACTAATACTTCTATTACTTTAAAAATGTATGAATTATTAGGCAAATCAAAATGAAAAACCAATATACAATATGAACAACAATTTCTACTCTAATTACTTTATCATATTGCCATAAAATGTTTTAAAATGTTTAACTCTCAATTACTTATCACACACTACTAATTGATCTCTACAGGACCTGCACTAGATGGAAAACTGTATTCTGAGTAGCACCAGCTTAGAACACATACAGGAAACATGTCACTTGCTTTTACTACTAATTTACCCAATCTCTTGAAGTCGACCCACTATTTCCATGAAGGTCCTTAGAGATGTGATGGCCTGAGACGATTCACTAGTTTTAAAACCCTGCATGGGTTTTTCTAGAAGAATTTTTGACAATATGTGTCATGGCATAGAACATTTACATTCTTGAACCAATTAATTACACCTTTATTCTGGGTGTCATGGCCCTCGCCTGTAATCCCAGCACCCACAAGGATGAGGTAGGAGGATCACCATGAGTTTGAGGCCAGCCTGAGCTACATAGTGAGTTCAAGACCACCTTTAACTACCAAGCTGTCTCAATTACCTTAAGAAAACAATGTCATTTATGCACAGAAGTGTTAATTGCACATTTATTGAAAATAGACAAAATCTGGAAACAGTGCAAATTCCCCAAGTTGGGGAATTGTGGAGCAGATTATGCTCCATTCTGTTCAGAGAAGCTCCTCTTACATGCCAGACTAGGTCATATCCCCTGTGTGATTCCTCCCATGGTCCACTGTGCTTCCTTTGTGGCACTAATATTTGCATAATTAGTGGACTTCTAGCCCTAGGCCCAACACATCTCCAATATTTGTTACAGTTTCTGGCACTTAGTGGCTGCTCAATAACTACTTGTTGAATGAATGAACAAAGTATACAGGAATATAATCTAATGTCTTGAAAGATTCTCACTGAAGCAGGAGACTAGGCTGTGACAAAGCTGTCTGAAGAAACAGGTGTGACAGTTAATTACAAAATCCCAGGATACGTGAGAAAAACAGTTACCAGAGCCCTGCATGTAAATGCAGGTTCAGTGTAAATAAAGTTAATCTGTTTGAACCATATGTATTTTTTAACCACAAAAATATGAACTAAATTACAGTACAGCACTATATGAAGAGAGGGAACACTAACTCGTTGCTCTGCACATTTTTGTCACCTTCATTACTGCTCTGCACTTTCTGTTTACCACCATCTTTGCTCTGGACTTTCTTTGGAGCCATACTGGATAAAATAATACTGTACAGTACTGTATGTGCTAAAAAGCACACAAAAAAGCTTCACAGTAAGAGTGCACAGGTCTGTCGAAGACCCCAGTCTCGACTACAGGAAGCTAAAACCACATGTCAGAGTGGGGAAAATGGCCACGGTCGTATTCGTCACCCTATGCAGAGTTGGTGAATGGAAGCAAAATTTTGCCAAATGCTTCTGTTTATGAACCAAACTGTTTGTGAACAGAACTGTTCGTGAACCAAGATATTACTGGATTTGTTTTCCCACTTTTACTTAAATCAAACTCATTCTGTAGGCCCTGTTTCTTTTCCTACCTTTAATAAATGTAACCATTTGCACTTTTCTTGACCAATTCTTTGTTCAGGACAGAAAAAAACTAAAAATCACCCCTAAAAGAAGACTCCAGCATCCCAAAACCTGGTAATATCAGGACATAATATCTATAGAAAAACTTAGGGTGTCAGATTATATTAGCAGAAAGATGAAAGTATTTAAGCTAAGAGTGCCATATTATGCTTGTTGGGATAGTATCAGGAAGGCTAAAGATTAATTGAGACTTGTAAAAAAAATTAAAAGCAATTGCTTTTTAAGGGTACAATTACAGAAAAAAGAAGAAAAGCAAAGAATGACAGGAAGGTTGGTATAATGATAACAGAGGGAAGACAGAAAGCAGAAATGCTTTAGGACTATTTTGCCTGTCTGCTAATCAACAGGGGATCTTGAGTTTGACTTAAAGCAGGTTGAACAAACAATGCAGAGAGGGAATTTCGGTTCTAGGTAGCAAGGAGCTGGAGAGAGGAGGCTTGGCCACTTCAAGTGGCCCCAAGAGTCCAGACCTGCATGAGTTGGATTCCAAGACCTACAGGAATTTCAGAGTTATTGATGCCCACCACTGAGAGATGATAAGAAGCAGAAATAAAAAATAAAATAACAGAAGTCTAATGAGAGGGAGGGATTTCCAGAGGAAGTGATGTTTCCTCTTTGTTACTATGGATAAACAAAGTAAAGGTAGAGGTACATAATTGCAAGGGAGACCCTTTAACCCAATGCAATGGCCCAAAAAACTTTTTACATGATAGTGCAAAAGTAACATGTTCTCAGTAGA